AAGGAGTTTCCCCCCCCCCCCAAGATTCCTTCTTGTGTTACATTTTTATTGATTATGGGGAAACTAGATCAGCCTTCAGTAATTCTTGAACTAACTTAAGACCACTTTTTTGCAAATCAAGTCTGTCAGATCTTGAATGGCAATCTTATTGGCTTAAACTGCTTTAGTCCATAGGCTGCTGCTAGATCTGCACTGTGGAGCTCCAGAACTTGGCTTCCCTCAAACTTTTTTCAAGGAGCTATTGCAACACCTTTTGCATTTAATTAAAGCTCTGCTGGTATATACTACTCATGCAAATCAAAGGAGCATCAGGTCTAGTTGTTTTTACTCTTGCTATTGGCAGAGCTGTTCTTTCTCCAGGTCCCATAAGTTGGCTTGACCAAAATTGGCTGGATTTTTTTTCTCTAAATTCTAAGGTACCATCTGAAATTCCAAAAAATTAGTTCCAGACTAGTTAAATTAATGCTGATTTTTAATGGGAACAGTCTAGATGTGTGAAGTCTTATAGCGGGACTTTTGCATGTCAGCTAAACTGATATTCCAGAAGCCAAGCTAGTACTCTAGAGCAGTGGTCTCCAAACTTTTTTGATCATGCACCCTGATCAGTAAATTCTTGAGCACACCCCCCCAATATATATATGTATGTATGTATATTTATTTATAAATTATATACATGTACTAATATATTTTTTACAACATATAGGTAAAAACAAATAGAAATAGAAGTTCTAATATTTTCTTCCCACACCCCAGTGGATCATCTTGTGCTCACCCCACTTTTGAGACTACTGCTCTAGAGCACTATGTAAAGCTCGCTGTCCCTGTATGATGTCTTCCCCCCGAGGCAGAAGAAGGGAATAATTGTCTTAAGGAATACTTGTGCAGCGATAACATGATATTGCTTGATATCTATCTATCTTTTGTTTTGTTTTTTTTTATCTCACTTCCTCAGGGGGCACACTCATTTTTCTGAAGGAGTAAATGAGACATGTGACTTGACTTTTATTATCATTTTGAGCCTTTTTGAGAGGGTTAAAGAAGCTTGCTTTCTTTGCTGTACATTCCAAGTACATGGACAAAATGTTTCTGCTAATAGCTATATACTAAGTAAAAGTAAAAATCTATCTTCTCTAAATGAAAGGCATGGAATTTGTTTGCTCCTGTGAGCCAACTTGGGTGCACCAACTTTCAAACTGACAATATCTGAAGCCTTGATGGCATGCCACCATTTAGATCGGATGCATGTCAGTAAAGCAAAACCATGGTTTTGCTTAACTTTTTTTTTTCTATGAGCATTTTATAGTATGTCTGTCACTACTGTCTGCAAGTGTAGCAATCTCTACGGCATAGGATCTGATGTGGACTGATTTGGTGTTCATAAAATTGGAATGCTTCCGATATGGAAAACCATGGTGGGGGGGGGAGGGGGACTAGGTTTGCTGTATGAGGAAAGTCTACACAGATTTACTGTAGTTCAAATATAACCGCAGCTACTGATGAATGAAATGATTCCTCTGTTTGTAGCCTGTTACAGTAGTTACCTGACTGCCCCTGCTGTCAGTTCCTGGAAATAAATAGTTTTCACCCTCACAGGGAAGATGTGACAGAACTTGGCTCTGATAAACATCCAGTCATGATGCAAGATTTGACCCTTTGATTAGCTCTCTCTCACCAAGTGATCCA